CAAAGCTTTACCCCATCTTTAGATGAGGGCTATGAAGGCTGGCCAGGCAAGAAAGAAACCTCTGGGGTCCAAGCTACTACCTATTTGGTTTGTTCAGCCTCCTGGGGCCGCTTGCTTTTCCAGACAAAAGCATCAAGGTGCCTCTTGAGGAAAGGTAGCATGTGACTTCTTGCTCCTGTGTTCTAGAAGACAAATCATTATGAAGACACTTATAGTTATTTCCACCACCAAGGAGCAAATGGAAAATATCATCATGGGAAAAATGTTAATTGTTAGGGTGTTAGCCTTTCCTCACCGATGAAACTGGTTCCAGCATGTGTCGACTCTTGTCATGGAGCCAAAATACAGTCCCAATTCAATTTAAGCTGTAATGCTTTGTTTTATTAGGTACTTTTATACCTTAATATTTGTCTTAGGTGCCTCTCTCAAGTTCTGTCAGTAAAGCAGATGTTATTGCAGCCACCTGAGAGGCACAGGATAATGAGTGTGTTCCCATAAGTTTAGCAGGGCTGCTCCTGCCTTAAGAAAGTGTTCTCCATGATGCTCCTCCTCAGCAGTGCTGGTCTGAGATGGCTTCCCTGGTGCCGCGTGCTGAGATTTGTCACTGTTCTTGCCAAGATGGGTGGCTGCTCTGCTCGCTGCCAAAATGTAAATTTTGTGTGGTGGCTCCCCTGCGTTTGAGCTCTGCTTTCTGCCCCTATTCTCTAGCAGACCAGGCCTCCCCAGGATCCACTGGGCTACTGATTTTACTTCTTTTTACATATTTTTCCATTGCAAGGCTGCAGGCACAGCATCGCTTGGGGTTGATTTCTGACAGCATCGCAAAGGGCGCACAAGATGTTGCATTTGCAGGGCCAACCAGTCCATGGAAGACATCTGAGCCCCTGTGCTGCAGAGCTGCTCACCTGTGTGTCCCCAGGCCCAAAGGGGAAAGCACAGGGGAAGAGGGCTGATGTGAGAGGGGAAAGGCAGCACCTGTTGAGTGGCTGGGTTTATCAGTGGGGCCGTCCTGGCTTCTGCCTGCAGAAACTTGGAATTTTCAGAATCTGAGAAAATCTACACCAAGAAAAATACCCTGCTGTTCCAGTAACGCATAGGGGCTGGGTTTGTTCAGCACCTAAATAGCAACAAAGCGAAAGTGAATTGTTTGGCACATCACAGAGCATGTCATTTCCAAAGAATTTGACCCCAAATTTATTGGGTCACGCAAAGGTCTGTTTCCCTTTGACCATTATATCCCATCTAACTAAAACTGCAGTCACATTTCTAGTATTTGTCTGCCTAAATAATTTCTTATCAGCCTAAGACTTCTGTAGCTAGTGCTGGTACTCCAACTGCAGTGCTGTGTGCTCCTGCTGTCCGCATTGGAATCAGAGATTACTACAGCTTTGCAAAGCGTTTGATCTGAACATGGAATTTTGCATTTCAGAGGGTTTTTTCAGCCCATTGGGATGCATAGAGCAAATACTGATGCAGGATTTTAACTGACTTTAAAATATCTAGGAGTTCAGTCCTGTGAGCTCTCTGAAATGTTTTCAGTTCCAGTTGCATCTCAGGGCTGTAAATGGACTCACAGATTGTGTAGCATCAAAGGCAAGCTTTTTAGCTTATAGAAAGTAATGGCAGTGCAGTCAAGAGCTTACCAGTGGCTTTTGTGTCCCCAGCAAATACAAAGGTTTTGTCCGAAGATGATGATGTGTGGTAAAGCTAACATCAAAAGGAACAGACTTTCCCTGCTGCTCTCGTCTTCCCTTTCCTTATGCCCTTCCCATGTGCCATCATAGCTGCTTTTGTTGCAGAACTGCAAGGCAGAGATTTTTGTTACAGGACCTGTGTGCTTTTGTAATGGCACAGAGACTGCCAGGGACCACACAGCTGCTGTTCACTTGGGGATGGGGGAAATCCTTCGTGCTCTTTAAATCCCGTGGTGCAATGAGTCCCCTTCCAACATTTACGGCTTGAAGAATGTTTAAAAGCTGGGACCTATTCAAGCATCTATTCAAGTCCTTCCAGCAACAGTCAAAAGTGTTCTTCCTTCTTGTATCCTTATTAAAACAATTCAAGGTCCCCATATAATAAAAGACAAATTAGTTCACCAAGTCTCAGGCAACACCCACGTGTATAACACGCCCCACCCCCACATTGTTACTTTTAATATGTCTCGAATGCCACTTACACCAGTGTTTTCCCCACCTTCCTGGTGGCCTTCTTACAAAGCAGATTTACCTGGAAATAAATGAGACAAGCTGTGTGACTGATGGCTGTAAGGATGGAGGGGTTTTTTCTGTAAAACAGGGGGGGGGGGGGAAATATCTGTTCTCAGTTCCTCTGCTTAGGTGTGAAACTCGCCAGACAGCTTTCAAACCATGTAGGCACTTAATTCCCAGGGAGAAGTGAGATTTGTCTCCACTGTAATGAACTTGCTTTTTTTTAGAAGGTGTTGGTGCTAATAAGAGGGTTTTCTCATCAAAGTGAGCATTTTTATTGCTTTATCATCTTATCATAAACTAAGAGTTTATCAAGCTCCAACCCCCCTGCCATGGGCAGGGGCACCTCGCTCTAAACCATATTACCCAAGACCCAGAGTCTTGTTTAACATCTTCGTCGCTGACATGGACAGTGGGATTGAGTGCACCCTCAGCAAGTTTGCTGATGACACCAAGCTGTGTGGTTCGGTTGATTCGCTGGAGGGAAGGAATGCCATCCAGAGGGACCTTGACACGCTTGTGAGGTAGGCTGATGCCAACCTCATGAAGTTTAACCATGACAAGTGCAAGGTCCTACACCTGGGTAGGAGCAATCCCAGGCACAGCTACAGGTTGGGCACAGAAGAGATTCAGAGCAGCCCTGCAGAGAAGGACTTGGGGATGCTGGTCGATGAGAAAATGAACATGAGCCAGCAGTGTGCACTTGCAGCCCAGAAGGCCAACCGTATCCTGGGCTGCATCAAAAGGAGGACAAGGGGGAATGGGTTAAAACTTAAACAGGGGAAGTCCAGATTGGATATAAGGAGGAAATTCTTTCCTGTTAGAGTGGTGAGGCACTGGAATAGGTTGCCCAGGGAGGCTGTGAATGCTCCATCCCTGGCAGGGTTCAAGGCCAGGTTGGACGAGGCCTTGGGTAATATGGTTTAGAGCGAGGTGTCCCTGCCCATGGCAGGGGGGTTGGAGCTTGATGATCTTGAGGTCCTTTCCAACACTAACTACTCTATGATTCTATGATTCTAAGAGGCACAGAATGAAATTTAATGGAATAAATTAATATATTTTAACAAACTATCAAAAATATTTACATGAAGGCAACCCCTGAATAAACCAAAAAAATCCAAGAGTAGGTTGGACATCTTTTTTTTTTTTCCCCTCCCTTCACCTCATTCTGAGCTTCCCTGTGTCTGTTCCAAAAAGTTTGGTCAGCGAGTGACTGGACTAAACCATTGACGTAACTTAAAACGGGGGAAGTTTAGATTGGATATGTGAAGTTCTTTACTGTAAGGGTGGTGAAGCACTGGAATGGGCTGCCCAGGGAGGTTGTGAATGCTCCATCCCTGGTGGTGTTCAAGGCCAGGCTGGACAGAGCCTTGGGTAATGTGTTTTAGTGGGAGGTGTCCCTGCCCATGGCAGGGGGGCTGGAACTTGATGATCTTAAGGTCCTTTCCAACCTTAACTATTCTATGATTCTATGAAATTACAGCAACCCTCTATGTTACTGCTGTTTGCAGAATCTATTATTTTGAACATAAAAAAAATTGCAGAACCATTTGGTGGTTTGTGTTTGTTTTTTTTTCTTTGAGTCATGCATGCAGATTTATGTATTGTTTTGAAATTAAAATGAAACAATCACTATGAGGGAGGTGAGGCGCTGGCACAGGTTGCCCAAAGAAGCTGTGGCTGTCCCATCTCTGGCAGTGTTCAAAGCCAGGTTGGACTGGGCTTTGAGCAACCTGGGCTAGTGGAAGGTGTCCCTGCCCACGGTGGGGGGTTGGAACTACATGGTCTTTAAGATCCCTTCCAAACCAACTCATCCTACGAAAACTTGGGAACTGGGGCATATAAATGCTTTTCTCTACTTAAAATACCTACCAAGTGTCTCTTCGCTAGTTTCTGTTTATGTGTGAGCTGAGAATGGACTCTTACTAGGCAGTTTCTTGCCTGCGGAACAGCATAATCAAAATGCTTGCGTTCACCTTTCAGTCTGAGTCACTTAGATAAATAGAAGCTTCATTAACCAGAACTACTTGTTCCTTGCACAACTGTTTTAAAAATGCTGAGTCCTGTAAAAGCACAGCAGGTTTAGAAAAGGTTTTTTCACCTACTAGAGTAAGGATGCGAGGAACTTAAAACTGGCTACAGAGATCTTGGTGTATTTTCTTGGAGTTGTCCTTGCTGTGGATGTGCCAGTTTTTTCCACCCTAGCCTTGAGCAGCAGCAGGAACTCCTGAGCAGATGGGAGGTTAACAGCAATTTAAGCTTACTTGTTTATAAAGCAAACATGCTTTGGAGGATCTGCATCCAATGTGGTATCACTGTAATAGCTTCACTGGTCATGAGTCAGTGTAAGCCATGCTGCAGGACCATGGGGACTGGTGCACCTCTCAGCCCATTTCTGAGAGTAATGGCCAAAGTAATGCTCTGTGAAGCCACAGAGAAACTCTGAAATGAGACTGCTTCTTGTTTGAGATGTTTGCAAATTGTGTATGGCAGTATTGTGTTAATCTCACATCTTCTAAAAACCCTTACTGTGAACAATGAACCCATGTTGGTCTTTGAGGGAAACATGCTGCACTTCCAGATACTATGTCAAGGATGGAAAAAATTTACATGAGCAAATTTCCATGTTATCAGCTAAGACAGTTTTATTTGCATTCATAATATTGCTGAGAGTTCAAAATGCTGTGTTTCATCAGGACTTTGTTTCTATAGTGCATTTGCCTTCCTTTGGAATATTCTGTGCAATTGAAATTGCACAAGTCTTTTTTGTAAAAAGGAAAGAGTCCATCTCTGTACAATATTTACATTTAGTTTTTATTTGTAAACTCTTTCTCACACACACAAAAAGTTTCTGGTCTGTTTGGGTTTTATTCAGTTTTTTCCAGACATTGGGAAGCTTTCATGGACCTGACGCCACGTTCCTGCATGCATTAGGACAAGGAATAAGCTATTTATAGATGTCTTAAGAGCAATTGTTTCTCTGTTCTGATGAAAGCCTGTTTGAGGTATTTAGGACTTTTTTGAGTGTTCTGGTTTATATTATTTACAACCTTAGAGAAACAAGTGAATGAAATTAATCTCGTAATCAAAGCCAAAATCACCAAAGTATAAATCCCTCAGTAGATGGAGCTGATGGCCACAGCCTTGGTTGCTGTCATGGTATTAGTGGAGAGGGCCAGGGAGGCTGTGGCTGTCTGGAGGATCTGCTTTGCCTTCCTCCTCTATGACCCTGGTTATGGGGGAAAAGCTTTCTAAGAGGGTGAACTTGGCTTCTGTGATTGTCCCCTCAAGTAGCTACAGGGATCTGGGCGGTTTTGCAGCCCAGTCTGTTTCTCCTTCAACTGTAAAGTGAAAATCCCCTATTATAACATTTGCACAAAGCAGAAATTGCTGCCCTTTACAGAAAGGTCCTTTTCCTGAAACACAGAAACTACCCCAATGTCCTCTACAGCTTTGGATTCTGTGGGTATAGTGCATCACTGGTTTGCTTGGGAGATGAAGGGCTGCAGTGGTCCAGAGCAAGTTTCCAGCAGAGGATTCATTTGCATGATGAGAAGTCCTGTAGGGGACTGGATGAGGTACAGGGAAGGGCAGAGGGCATGCAAATTCGTATCACTCTGCCAATGTGCTGTGAATCTGGTATCAAAGTCTTTAGAGCATAGGTAAAGGACACAAAACACATCATTTGGAGCAGAATTGTGCAACTTCACTCAGGAAAAATCTTTGTGCTAAATGCATGTTCAGATGGAGTATATGTTAGGAGAGGCCTTTCTCATAACCATAGAAAATATATTTTAAAGTGAGGGGAGAAAACATAGTGTTCATTTCCCATTTACCTGCTTCTGTATTTCTCCATTTTCTCTGAGCTACAGAATAAAGTCCCCAAATGACAAAAATAATTGTTCTTCCCTTCCTGTTTCTCCTGTGACTACAAAACTGAAGTTCTGCTACTCTGATAGGAAATCTGTTCTCATGGACTTGTAAATCTATACCCAGCTCAGGCACTAACTTGGCTTTAATTCAGCAGTACGCCAGTCTCTAGATGTTTGGGGCTGGTACTAATAGCCAAGTTCACCCATTTGTTCCTCAGTTATATGTCTTTTGGGCTGCAGAGTGTGCTTTGATTGACAGCTGAATATTGGCAATCTGACTGCGAGGTCGATGACAGCTGCATGGGCTCAAACTCATAAATCTGTGTTTTAGAGATATGCATGCATGTACTAGAGGAAGTTTTAGACTTTGGATACACAAATCAGTAAAATCAGCAATATTAGCTGGTGACCTTGGACACACAAATCATTAAAATAAGGCAACAGTAGCTGCCCAGTTTCTGCATTACTTGGCTCTAGCATTATCCTGTGCACTGCGATGTAATTTGCTCTCTGCTGTCACAGCCAGATTGTCTTTGCTGTCAGTGTTTTTGGAGATTGACAGCGTACCAGTTAGATTTCCTATTTTCTAGACACATTATCACAGGCAATGTACCACACAGACCTTGCTTCCATAGCTCTGCCATCTCAAGGTCTCTCATTTTATGTAACTCCTTAGGTATTTAGCAGAAGCTTCTCCCAACTTGGCTTTTCAGGTCTCTTGCTGAGTTAGGAAGACCTAACCTTGATCTGCAGAAGCTCTGGTAGATGTTAGGAAGACTCTGGTTTATGACTACACTTTTTTTCAGAAGGTTTTTGGCCTGCTTTCTATCAATATAACTGCATTTCAAAGCAAGCCAACTTAATTAATGGCTTCCCTCAGAATATCAAATATCAGATTTCTTACTGGAATCTATAAACATTAAATTATCTCAAATTCATTTCTTTAGTCTTTAACTTTTTCAGTTTCTTTTTAAAAAATACAACCAAGCTTGTTTGGCAATATTTTCCTTTAATGAGCATATGTTGTTTGACCGTCATGAGTCACCTTGACCTTGTTTTCAATTAGCTTTTCACGCTCAGTAATGAGGAAGATGACACATCATCTGTTGAAAATCCACTTTTTGTGTGAGACTTTGGAAACTTTCATTCCAAATTGCTAAATAACCACTTTTAGTCCTTCCTCACAACAGCCCTCTGTCAAGGAGCCTACTAAGCAGGGAAGGCTTGCCCTTAGATCCCTTAAGAATAATGATTTACTGCTGAAAAATACTTTGCTCCAATTTTCCTGTCTGCTGTTGCTATGCCAGCAGTTTCCTAGATCAAGGAAGCTTCATCTTTGTTTGTTCATATTGGGTTTTTTAACCTCACAGTTATGAAAGCTTCTAAGGGTTTGACTGTGTTTCCATTTTCACCTATGAAAATCGTGTTGCTGAGGCAGAGGGGAGGAGCGCAGTGGAGGGGAGGGAGGACTGAGCGTATTGGTCACATTGACAGCTGCACTATCATGCTCAGGATGTGACTGACTGCAAAGCCAAGGCCAAGAAGTAAAGTGGGATACCTAGTTGAGAAGGTAACACTGGGATGCAGAGTAAAGATTTCTTAGGAAGTGAGACAGATTTGGAGTAAGTGTACGTAAGGAAGATGGGCTTCACCTAAGCTGAGCCCTCTTGGTTATGTTTGTTTCGGTGTCCTTATACATCCCTAAGCCCATCACCATTATTTTTTCAAATTGGAAAAGCCTCTGTGCATGGAAAACTGTAAAAATCTGCGTGATTCACCACAAGCATATGAAATAATGAAAATCCTGTATTCCAGGAATAGAGTACAATAAAACTTGTGAAGGAATAACAAGAATGTTACAAGTAATGACCTCTGGTAATAGCACAAAAAACAGACAAGAAACAAATGTACATACATTTTATAAGCAAATGCTTCAGTTCTAAACAAAATCCCACCCAAACAACAAACCAGCTACAGTGTATGAAAATGAATGCTTGGTTTAAATCGGATTATAGATATAAAATATATAAAAGATATAGAAACATAAGATAGTTAGGGTTGGAAAGGACCTTAAGATCATCAAGTTCCAACCCCTGTGCCATGGGAAGGGACACCTTGCACTAAACCATATCACCCACGGCCTCGTCCAACCTGGCCTTGAACACTGCCAGGGACGGAGCATGGGCAACCCATTCCAGTGCCTCACCACCCTAGCAAGAAAGAATTGTCTCCTTATATCCAATCTAAACTTCCCCTGTTTAAGTTTTAACCCATTGCCCCTTGTCTTATCACTACAGTCCCTAATGAAGAGGCCCTCCCCAGCATCCCTATAGGCCCCCTTCAGATATGTCAAAAGCTTGGTACAAGTGGAATGCTGTAATAAAAAGAAACAAATCCTATAAGCATGACAGCTCCCACCATGACAAGTCATACCAAACTATCATGTTTTTAAAGCATTGTCAAGAACAAAACAGCCTACTTTGTATTGTGTCTTTGAATGTGTAGAAAAGTTGTTTTAAGTGCTTCAGCACATGTTCCTATAGATACTAAGATGTTTTAGGATAAGGAGGATTTTTTATTTTTTTAATGGATTAGTACATGCAAATAAATAAAGTGAAAAAGAGAAGAACAAATGGCTAGTCTTGACATGGGAAGAAAGTCTCCACTGAGAATCCAGAAAATCCACTGTTCAATTAATCCATAGCTATGTGGGACCATGTCAAACCATTTGAATGCTTCAAGCAGATGTTATTTGGAGTTTTTCAGAGTGTAGAACGTGGTTCTTACAATTCTGAGCAGCTGGATGAGAAGAGGGCCTAGATTTTGTATTGCTAGAAACTGAAATTTAAGTTAAATAGCAGCAGGAGACAGATGCAACAGTGCTAACCCAGGGATAGGCTCCAAATGAGCTACTAGCTTTTTAGAAAAGAGTTGATAAGGTCTTTATGGAAACATGTCTGAAAATGTCTGCTTAGACCCATTAATGGATATATCCAATGAAGTTTTCTTCCCTGATGACCAACAGGTAGGGTTTTCTCTTGTTTCAAGTAGAGAATCCTCCTATTGCTATTATCTTAAGTAAATGAATTGTGTTTTCCACCTGTTTCACCTTCCAATTTAATCTTCTGGCATTTGTGAGTGTGTGTGTATTCATGCCTCAAAACACGCTGTCTTCTTGTGGGTCCAGCCTAATGTAAAAGCTCTGTAAAGTGCTTTTAGTGTAGAGGTTTTGCTCTGAATTTTCTCAAAAGCTCTCTGTCATATATTCTTTAAATAAGTTTGCATGGAGTTTTCTCAGTGTAAAAAATCTTTTCTTCCTCTACACCAAGGATTTACTTAAGTCAGTGGAGATCTAGCACAGGTTAGGATTTTATACAGTTGAGGAGATCTATAGTTAGTAAACTCCATGGAATTGCAGATTTTCTTGAAATAATTTTCCTTTCTATTTTATAAGCAGTAGTTACCTACAGTAGATATTGAGAACTTCTGTTTGCTTGGTTTTCTCTTGCCTTTAGGAGGCTTGAATGTTATTTGAGAATTATACTAGAAACAGTTATTTAATAAGTACAGTAAACCAATTTCATAAAAGTTTAATTTCTGAAGGATTAGGTCTTTATGAGCTCTCATTCAGAGGTTGACTGCATAGTGTTTAAAATGAACTTCTCTTAGTAACAGAAGAACATTCTGGTGTAAAAACCTCTTACTCTCCCTTGGGACTTTCACCATTTCTTTTATTTAAAAAATACATTCCAGTTTTTGCAGTATTGTAATCTGGGTATGAATATTTACACTGTGTTTGGATTGCTGACCAAGAGCAGAATCTATTCCAGAACAGTCTCTTGCATTCAATGAACTAAGAATTGTATAGGAAAATAATCAAAACATAGTAAATCTCCATGTTCTTTTTCTGGATCATTACATATGGAATGAAACTCACTTCCCTCACATTCAAGCTCACTTTGGCTAACCCAGGCTGCTGCGTTAGAAACTGCTTTTTGGGACTTGTGCCCAAGAGAAGCCGACCAGGTGCTTGAGGAGGGGGGCCCACCACAGTGCAGAGAGCTCCAGGGAGTAGATTGTTTGCTTTATGAAATTTGAGCAGCAAAATGAACTGTAAAAGTTTTTTCATGATTGAATGAAGGGTCTATCTGCATATAGGAGTATTTATATTCAAATCTATTCCTTACAGAAATATTATACCACATACAAGCTTTTCTTTCTTGCTGCTGAGGTACTAATTCAGCAGATTTGTTTCCTGCAAATTTGTTCACTCCGTTGACCACACAGATGCATTTTCTATTCCTCAGAGGGCTTTTCACTGTTGTTGCTTTTCATTAATGCTTTGCTGATAATATATGCAGGAAGATGGAAAGAAATAAGTCATTTATTTTTTCATTTGAAGAAGTCACTTATGATTATTATTATTCTTTTTTCTTTTTTCTTTTTTTCATGGAAAGTGTAATAGCCAACATTTAGAAGAATGCACTTAATTGTTCTGACAAGATAGAAAAACAATATTCATTTAAAAATGGACTTCACTAAGCTTCACATTCTTAAATGAGAAAACATAAATTATTACATTGCTCATGGTTACTAATGCCACACCACTGAAATCATAAACAAGAATTTAATTGGAAGAAAGATCAGTGGCTGCTTCTCTGGTCCTTTGTTCTCTATCCCCATCTCCTCCAAGTCTGGTACAACTATGAGTGCAAGCTGTAAATAAGATCTTTTAGAAATGAGTGTTTATTGATTGCACTGGAGCTCAACCAAAGTTTCAAATCTAGAACACAGATACAGAATTATCACTATATGTTAATTGCTAATTACTCAGATCTAAGATGAAGAATGTTTGTCACAAATATTTTTTGTAATATCTTTTAAAATTAAATTGCTTCCCAGAGTGTATAAATACTGGTGAGAATCATATTGGTTTAATTGAATTACAGACAGCTTTTCAGAAACATAAGCTCAGTCCCCTGAAGCAATTTATTTTCTTTTAATTATAAGATCATACATTGTCCTACTTTATAACCCTATGAACATATCTCAAGTGTCCTCCGTTAATCTGAGCTGATGCCCACTTTCTCTTTCCCTACCGCTTAGATGGGAAGATTAATGTAATGCCTTGCTTTCAAGTAGGAATCAAGTCATAGGATCTCACATAGGGGAATTTGGATTTCATGCCATCCAGTGCACCTTCCTCCATCTGGCGTATGCCCAGATACTGTCCCATTGCCTGCTGTCTCCAGAAAACAGAGCAAGGAAAGAAAATGCCTTTCCCTGCACATTTATTGCACAAACAAGAAGGGTTTTGTAGGTGGGCCTGTAGCCCCATTGTGAAGACCTCTGTTTTACCAAGCCAGGGAAGGGATGTGCATCCTCATCTTGGCCTGTGTTTCTCACCTTTTTCATCTCTGTGCTGTGTGGTACCAGAGAGGAACAGCATTTTCTGCAAGAAGATGATGGTTAGCAATGAAGTTATTGCTTGGAAAAAGCAGCCAAACATGAACAGAAATGGCTCCAGCATCAGAAACAGCATCCCTCCCAAAGCATAAAACAAAAAGAACAATTGTGTGTAACAAATCCCACCCTCATCATGCTGCTCCCAGAGGCAGTGACAGCCCTGTTCCCCTCCCAGCTTGCTTTCTCCATTCATGGCTTCAGGTTCCTGCATGAAACTTTTCAATCCCACTGCAGTGGAGCTGTGGAGATCCCTCGAGAGTGAGAGTGCTCCCCTTTCTCCTTCACTTTGCCCCACCCAAACTTCGGTGACTTAATAGGAGTTCTTATTTCCATTGGTGTAAATAAAGGGCTCTGCAACAAAAATGTTTATTTTAGCCTCTCAGAGAAAGTCTTATAATGACCCACTATGTGCTGCCTACTGCTGGACTCTGCAGGAAGAGCAAAGATGAGGCTGGGGGCAGGAGGAGAAACATCACAAGAAAATACTTTATTTCCTGAATCTTCCCTCCCCCTGTTACTGATCTAACACTGATCATCTGCTGCCTCTGTGGTCTGTGACTTTTGACTCTATCTTTTATAATGCACAGAAGTCTTGCAAAGAGAGTATGTGGTCTCTGTGCCTGGAAAGTACCTACTGCATTTGAGGCAGCAGGGTATTAAGTAAATAAGAGTTTGCCTGTCTGGAGACCTTCACAGTCTGTCTCATTTCAGGCTCCTACTTAACCTATCTTTTGTTTGGTTTACCTACTTGGAAAGGAGACCAACCCTATCATTTCTTGAGCACCGCCCTTTCGAGTTGGCTGAACTGTGTATACTTTTTACTTATATGTGTGTATATAAGTATGTATTAGTTTTGGGTAAGCTAATGCAATTGTGAGAACTTTTCAGTTACTTTTTTTTTTTATTGCCATTGGCAGGGCTTGAAACCATTTGAAATGCAGCCACATTGGCTTGTGCTCTGTAAGAAACGGGGAAGGAATCTGCATCTGCCAAATGGAAAAGGATAAAACTGGTGTAATGGTATGTTGCAATTGCACTGCAAAACCTACCACAGTAAATTACTGCTGTAACAACCTCCTTCCTGTTGTGAAAGGCTCCAGCCCAGGTTGTTTTGTCTCGCTCTTCTTGATACTTCAGTTCTGAAGAGGAAGTCATCTTAGCACTGAATGACTGCTAAGCTTCTCAGAGTACAAACTGAAAGCAAAGATGGAAGTTGGGAGGGCAGGTGCCTGATTTTTGCCTAGGTGATGGTGCTAGACTTGAGCATCAGCCCGTGGCAGCAAACCTACTGTGCTGTGGCAAGGCTTTATGTGATGTGTTGGTCTTTGCTTTGCAGTCTTTTTTCCCCTTCTTCTTCCCCCCCCTTCTGCTGGTGGTTGGTATCATTATCTGTAAGTCACCTGAAGTTTCCATGACATTGCCTGCACAACCGAGTCGCTGGGGTGCTCTGCCCTGTGCTCACAGCAGCAGTTTGGCTGTGCTCGGTGGCCCAGGGGGAGTGTTGTCCTCTGAGGTGGCTTGTGGAAAATGACCTGCAGCGCCTTTCATCCATCCCACATACATCTCCTTTCCACAGACTTTGCGCTGTGTTTGGCACACAATCGTATTTTGTTAACACTGAATAAAGGAGGAAAAAGGGAGAGAGCCAGAAAACCAGATTACTCTCTTGGTTTCAGAGTGATCCTCCTAAAGGGAGGGGAGAAGGTGACAAGCCACAGTGTGGGAAAGTTTTTTAAGCTGCTCTCTAAGTTGTTTGTGTTCTGTGGAGAGAGTGGTTTGGGTCTCCTGAATATAACTGCATGTTTGAAAAAGAGTTATCTGTTTAAGGAGAGGAGGAAAGAAAGCCTCCTCTTCAAGGGGAAAGCAATGAGATCCTGGTGTTTTCAGAGGTGTAAGGGTGTTGGCCCTTTGACAGTGCTTTCCAGAAAAGCATTATACAAAACTTCATCTGACGATTAGCACTAAGACAGGAAAACACTGGGACAAACCCAGAGCTGCCTTGTACTTAAAATGTGCAAGCCACCCAGTGTGATCCAGGATCCAGGCTGTCAGACCAGTGGCCAGGCAGCATCTCTTCACAGGGATTTCACTTCCTCCTAGGACGGACAATGAGTATTGAGATTGCTGGGAAACATACAGAGGCAAATCTAGGAGTCCCTAAAAGCTCAGTGGAATGGGAACTCCCTTTCCTGCAGGCACTTTCTAGGCTGGTGAGCAATGGGGCTTCCATCATCCACTGCCTCTATGCATGGTTTGCTGGGTACTGATTCAGCTGGTCTTGGGCTTTCCACAGCTGAGCCTGTGTTGCTTCCTCTAGATGTGAATGAACTTCTACTTTTTCTTCTGTGGTGCTCATACAATTAAATGTCTTTAAAAAAAAAAAAAAAATTAGAAAAATCAGTACCTTTCTGTACTTGAATTGCACCACCACTTCCTTGCACTCCTCAAGCCCCCAGCCTCTGTTGCTTCCAATAATAATAATAAAACCTGAAAAATCTTGTCCTCTTTTACAGCTACAGCAAAATGGATGTAGATATAGCTGTGCTTTTCCCCTCAGATATCTGGCAGCACTCCCTTCCACTCTCTCCAAGTCTTCTCTGTGAGGAATGAACACAGCTGATCATAGGGATAAGGATCAGCTCAGGGGAGTATGTGCTGGCCAGGGAAATTTTTTCCCTTTGATGCCCATTGCTCCCCACCTCTGATGTCTCATGAGCGTTTCACATTCTCCAAGCCCGGAGTCATCTAAAGCCACAGGACAGAAGCAGCTTTTCTCCCCCTGGCTGCACAGACCAGATCACCCCAAGGGGATTTTCCCTTGTTAAAGTTGCCAGCAAAATATTTTGCAGGGCTTAAGTTGAGGTATCAAACTATTTCCCAGCTATGGCCAGTTTGAACCAAAGGTTGTTATGAAGAAATGCTGTCTGTTATGTTAACGTGAGTGGTCAAGAAAAAGTCCCAAATAAAAGCTCTGAATAGATAGATTCCAGCTGGCAAATTTCTTTCTTTTTCTTTTCTCTTGTGAGTTTAAGGAGACTTTCTATCTTAAAATGAAACCTGATATTTATGGGAATATCTTATTCTCTGTAAAGCTATGAATTTCTTTTTGGTGAACAGACCAAACCCTACATATAAACTGCATGGAACAGATACCTTGAGATGTGTTTAAACAAAGTGGACTTTTTTTTATGTAACAGAATTGGGTGTATTGTTCTTTCATTCACTGGATGCTTTCTATGGAAAATCCATAAAACAAAATGGGAAATAAGAAACCATTTTTTTGCTGCTGATGTAAGATGACAGAGAGGAAAGGAAGTTTCTGGGTTATAACGGGTCAAGCAAAAATACCTCCCTGCCTACTCTTTCCAAAAGAAAACTGAACGAGTCAAAAATCCTGCATACCAGTGGGGTGTTTGGTCTATTTGGTCTGGTTTTGCATCAAGGGAGTTTGGTTGTATTACTTGCGATATTAAATTCTCTTAGCCATAAGTACCTTTAATCATTAATGTCAAAGAGTATCTATTTCAAACCATGTTTGGGTAATTACTCAAAGTAGAAAGCAAAGGGAACTGAGTGTGGTTTGGGATTAGACTGGAAAGGTGTGGCACATCTCAAGCATGGGTTTAGTTTTGGTGCTGTGAGGATCAGGCATCAGGAAAATGAGAGTGGATGGAAGCAAGCAGGAGGCTGGACTGGGGCCTTGCTGCCTGGGACTGTGCCACGAGGGGAGTATTTCTGCTTCTTCAGTAGTGCCAGGAGCCACCTTCTCACCTCCATTGTTCCAAAGAGAAGGTGTTGGGAAATGTGGTGGTGGCTGCTAACACCCTGAATCCTCATGGCAGGTAGGGAGTAAGGGAGGTGCCTGGGCACTGCTCCCCTGAAGTCACCTTGGCTGGGGCTGTTTTTGCTTTTGCCCCATCCTTTACTCCTTGAAAATCTCTGAGAAGTCCAGCTGAAGGTGAAGGAGAGAAAGGCCAGGCGCTACTGCCCCATCACCCTGCACTGCTGTAATTGTCGTGGGGAGGAAAATCATAGCAGTGAATGCCCCATGGAAACATGTAATTCACTGCATTTGAAAGCTGACACTCCAGAGGGTTTTAGTTTATTATTTCTGTGTGCTGCTCCAATAACACTGGCTGTCAGGCCTGCATTCAGTGAACAAGGATTTGAGTTCTAGGAAGCTGTTTTGTTGCTATCACAGCTAATGACTTGTCAGTTTCCAAGGCAATTCTGATATTTCAGTAGACCATTTTCTCAATTGTTTCAAATTGCAGGGATATTAAGTCCTGCAGCAGCCTAAAGCATACACTTCTTTATACACCTTTTTCTTTGGAGCATGCAAATCAACTCTTCTTGTTTACTTTGTCTGCTTTTTTTAAAGCTTTTAGAACAGGTCTGCAGCCTGCCATAGGGTTTATCTCTGCCTTTACCCTGCTCGTGGCACGCTGGGCAGAGCTGTGGATGGATGAGGACTCAGTGGGGACACATCGCTGCCAGATGCAACCCCATCACCAGCTGCAGGAGGAAGAGTGGCATTTTTACTCTGCTGGACCACTAGATGGGGAAATTGTATTTACTTTTTTGGGTTGCAAAATGGAACCTGGCAGTAGGCTGGAGCTCATGATAGTAATGAAGCATATCAAGCCTGTTATCTGCAATAGGTGTGTGGTGATGACTCAGACTTTGCCCCCCTCTTTGGCAATGATGCTGCAGCTCCTCTGCAAGGAATCAGGCTCTGCTGAGCCGCTCTGTGGCCTGATGAGCTTTTTGGGGAGGTACTCTGCAAAATCAACCTTTACTTATGTCCCCTCTTTCAAAAGGTTTCTGTGGTGTAGGGTAGCAGAGAGGCTGCTCCTTGGGGCTGGTGGGTGCCTGCCCCACTGCCAGCCCCTGCATGCCCCTGCAGCTTCACATGGGAAATGGGGAAAAGTGATAAATATTTCAATGAATTTCTGAACAGGGAACAATCAAGGCCAGGAAATTATCTGGGTATTCAAGAATTGATGTCAGGATCAAGGCAGAAACACAAGGCAGTATGTGCTCAGGGCCTTCTCTTGTTTACAGTAGTCTGTTGCTGCTAAGTCATCGGCTTTTTCATGATGAAAGTGTTTCTGAACAGAGTGGCAAAAGTGACAGCTGTATGGTGACACTGGGTCTGACAGGATTGCATGTAGGAGACTAGTGGGCAGGCTAATTCATACGACAAACTTGAAAAGGAAGATTTGGTAGACACAGGAATATTTCAAAGTCAGGTATTAAAGATATTTGCTTAAAACGTGGTATCAATTCTAAACCATTAGACCACTTGCTTTAAAGCAAATATTCTATGACATAGTGAACCCTTTTTCTTGTAGGAGAGAATTAAGGCTGGTTACAGTCTGTGTCACAGGGGTGATTTTCCTTGCTGCAGGGTGCAAATGATGGGAACGCAGCCTGATGTAGTGCTTTTGACTCAATGTTATTCTAATTTAGAACTAGCTTTCTTTATGCAGTGCTACATGCAGAGCAGATGTGCGTTCTGCTAAGGTGTGTAAAGTTTTTCATATTTTCTATGGATGACAACTTTGGTAAGCAGCTTTATTTCTCTAAAGGTATTGCTGTAGTATTTTGGGGAAGATATTTAAAACTGCAACCATCCCTGTGTTGTAGCAGCTATAGAAATGCAGGCCTCTCTACCTGTGCATGCAGGAGAATGGGCCATAATATGAGGAGTTCCCACTGTCACAACCAAGCCCATGCAGTTCTCTCTTCCCACCTTTCCCTGCCAGTCTCTGTGGGTGCAGGGTCTGCCTTGGGCATGAGCTTCCTTTTCACTGCATCACCACTGCACTCACTGTGATGGATCTAGTTGTAGCTGATGGATGCTTTTATGAAAACTCAGTTACTTGAAGTCAATGTCAGCTCAGAAAGAAGCCAGGGGAATGTGTTTAAACAAGCACACCTGCACCTTTTTGGCACTTGGAACTACTGTAAATAGCTTAGCCAAAAATATGAATGAGTGTTTATATCCTTTCAAATATCACCACAAAGCAACTGAAGAGCCAAATATTTTTGTAGCAGTTGTGTGCTTTTTCTGCATGTGCTTTATTAGAGAAATTATGTCTTTGAGCCTGGAAATCAGAGGTATTAAGGAAAAAATATGCCTGTGAACAACAGTTATGAACATCATTTGGATGGTTTCAGTTAGCTGTTAAGGAAGGCATCATGTGCTTATCAGATTTGCCAGTAGGACTCTACACTTGATTAATTGAGGAAATTGCACAGGGTCCTTTATTTCCATGCCTTTGGCTAGAAGTCTGTCACGAGCCACGGTGTGCTTGGGAATAGATGATTTGTGGAAGTTTTCTCCTTTTGATTTGGAGAAATGCTTCCATAAGGAAAATCTTAAGCTAAGGCTCCTCATGAATTAAGAAAGTCCTGGTACAGGAGCAACAATACAGTGTGAGTGCTCAGGGAAGCCAAGGTGCTTGGGTAGCAGCAAATCATTTCTGTGTCATGGAACAAAGGTAATCTTTTCCATGAAGTCATCTGCTTTTGCATTTTTACACGCAGATCTTAAAATGATTCACACGGGATATTTATTTCCATCTTATATATGAGGAAACAGTGTGTGTGCATCCATACCAGGAACACACTCTCCCTCCCCACCTCAACCTGTGACTCAACTTCAGATGGGTTAAATGC